AATTTAGTGTAGTAACTTGAGTAACAAGTCAGAAAATGAGGGACAAATAAGTAAAACTGAAAATCTTAAAGAGGGACTAGGGGTGTAAATGAAATTTAGGAAACATCCCTTTAACTTTGCCTATAAAAGGCAGTCATTTCTACCTTGTTGAAGGAGGAGAGCATTACAGATCTGAAAAATTCCTTCTAAAGTATTCTCCAAGTTTCCCAAGTGAAATTTGAATTTCAAAACTCCAAATCTTCAAAAACCAAAAAAAATAATAGTAAAGCATCACAGAAAACTCCAAAAAAGACTGTTTCTTTGAAAGTTTTTAAGTTTGGTTTCAAGCTAGTTTAATCTGAGTTCCCTAGTATCTCTAGATTCAATTTCAAGTCATTTTGGGTTTTTTTCAAGCTGTTCGGTTTATTTTTGGTTACTGAAATCTCAAAAGCAGTCATGGTTTTAATTGCAAGCTTACTGGGTTCGATTGAATTTGTTTCTAACGTTTCATTGGCGTTACCCCATCTTCCTCCACCTCTGGTTTATTGAGGCTGTTTAAGCTCGAATCTGACCCTGTGTTGGTTGGATTTTAATTGTTGTTGCTTGCTCATTACTGCTGCTGATACTCCATTTTTTGAATTTTCAATACTCTTCCAGGTACAATTTCCGGTTCCAAGCTGATGTAGATCTCAAAGTTGAAGGAATGAAATAAAGTTGTCACCTAGTTTTATTGCAAATTTTAGTTGTTTCACAATATATGATGCTTACTTGTAATAGATTTGGACTATAATAGACTGTGGACCTTTTGGCTATGTTTGTCTATTTAGACATTAGTTTAGTCTACCTTAGTTAAATGCTTGTATTAGTTTAGTGTTAAAACAGGAAGTGTGATAAACTTGGATTAACTTCAGTAATCTAGTTCTAAAAGCAGAAAATAGGCGTCTGAGTTTGACATTTGGGTTGTTTGTCGTCAGTTTATGATCGTAGTCGTGTAATGGTTGTGATTTGCGTAATTAATTGATAATAAAATAGCATCAGTTTAGACCTAAATGTTAAAATGCATAGGAAATGGTAAACTTAGGTCAATAAATGAAATAATGTTTAATTCGTCAAGGTTGATTGTTTAAATTCAATATTTCAACTCAGTTAGTAATTACTTTAGTTCAATCATGGCTTCTGAAGTAATATAGCAATCCATTAATCTGAATATGGGAATTTGAATTTAATACACAGTACTTGTTGATTTGGAATGTGGTTGCATTGTTTTATTGTTATAAAGGATCATGAAGTACAGTACTAATGTAACCCAGTAGCTATGAAATTTGGTTAAGGTGGATTAGTTTGGGCCTGCTCTAACATTTTAAGTGGGCCTCAACACTTTTTTAAGGCATGGCACAGATCCGAGTGTGATTCATTTCACATTCAGGCCTGGGCAAAGGCCTGCGTTTGGCCAACTTAACGCCAAACTGGATACCATCTCTTTTGGATTGGTTTCTGAAGCCCAAGCATTTTCAAATGTTTAACTGATTGGAAACGTTAAGTTAATTATGGTCTTTTTTTCTTTTTAGAGACAATACATAATAGAAAATTATAGTTGCTTTAGGTTGCCCTTTTAAAATAAAAATGAGGTGCGCCGCGCTAAATAAAATCTTACATTGCTTGGCCCTCTTAATCAAGTTAAAAATATTTTAGACCTCGGGACGTGCCGTTTAGCAAATTCCATGGCCTCTCACAAAGATAATAATATGCTAGTCACCTTAGGACCGTCATTTAATAATATTACCTTCTTAAAATTGGGTGCGCATTTATGTGACCCAAATCCAAATCTCAACGGAGTCGAAATGTGTCAACCACCACGGGTGCATTGATGTGACGTGGTTCGAGACGCATTTTCACGACGTTGCAATTCTCATTAAAAATAAATATGAAAGCGGTTTACAATTAAAAAGCACATAACCTAGAACATGTTTTGAAATCAGATAAAATCAAACATGACAGTTAAGCGATCGTGCTAGAACCACGGAACTCGGAAATGCCTAACACCTTCTCCCGGGTTAACAGAATTCCTTTCTCGGATTTCTGGTTCGCGGACTGTTAACAGAGTCATATCTTTCCTCGGTTCGGGGTTCAACCGGTGACTTGGGGCACCATTAATCTCCCAAGTGGCGACTCTGAACAAATAGTAATAAATCCCGTTCCGATTGTCCTTTAATTGGAAAAACTCCTTTATGCCCTCGCGGGTGTAGTGAAAAAGGAGGTGTGACAGATATGATGAAAGAAAAAAGGATAGATGTGCATGGACCCTAAAATTCATCTCTTCGTTGTTTCAAGGGATGTCATATTCGATGAAGTCTCTTTGTATTATGGAGTTGCATAAGAAGGGACGGGCTCTAAATCCTTGAACCTTGAAGAATCAAATCTACCCATCACAGGTACTTCCTTAGATAATGCAGTTGTCAAGGAGCTAAGAGAAAGGGGGAGCCCGAGAACCCAACGACATGAAACTTAGCAAGGAGATGATTCAAGTGTTTTAGGAAGGCCAAAAAGGAACTAATGTCAAGTCAGCTCGTTTCAGAGATGAAAATTTCGTCAGCACATTCTCTTGTTCCTGTGCAGGACCAATTGAAGAACTTTCAGTCTTAAGGGAAGCAAGAGGAGCCAAAAAATAGTGTTGAGATCTTCACCAAGACACGTCCTAAAGCATCGGTTGAGCCGCGACAAGCTTGGGATAGCTTTCAAAAATCATTTTAAGGGGGAGTGTGAAAAAATAAAGTTGATTTCTTGGAAGAGTAAAATTATATATAGTTAGAAGAAGTTTCTAGAAAGTTATGTAGTAATACCTTTGATGTTTGTTGTACTTAAGAAGTATCTAGATATTCTAGAGTCTTGGATATTTAAGGAAGATATTAGTAGGAGATGATAAAATTGTCTCGATTATTTGCTTTTCCATATATTTTTTTGTTTATTACGTTGGTGATGTTATTTTTCTGGCTTCTGTTGTTGTTATCACTGACATATTGTCTATTGTTTTATTTTCTTCTTCTGGAGCTGAGGGTCTTTTGGAAACCTCTCTACCCCTCCGGAGTTAGGGTAAGGTCTGCGTACACTCTAACCTTACCGTAAGTAGGATTTTTCTGGGTTGTTATAGTCTTAGGCATTTGTAATAAAACAAAATTTAAGAAAGTCTTCTTCAATAACAAAGTTCTCATTTCAAAAATCTCTCTTCTTCTTTCAAAGTTTCCTCTTCTTTAGTTGAATCCTCCAATTTTCGTTAACGATCTTGAGTTCGCAGAAGGTCTTCAATAATACTCTTCTTCTGTTATTCTTTGCAGCTCCCACCCCCACCCCCAGCTCCCTAGACCCCAACCTACCACCCTTCCTGCTCTTACCCATTTTGTCGCATACAATGTTCCCCTATATTATATATGTTCGAAGAAAAACATTTTCCTTCTTACCAAACACAGCCTAATTTGCATCAGCAATCAGGTGATCACGTATGATTCAATATACTAACAACACAATCCTAAAGCGCACAAGTACATGGTTCCCTTATTTTACGAAGAAAAGAAACCAAGTATATCATAATCAAGTGTAAAAATGCTTATTAAGTTTTGTTAGGGCAACATATGCCTCTTGGGAAAACGATACATACAAAAAAAGAGTCAGTGGTGCAATGTAACAAGCAGAAAGCCAATAACAAGATAATCATGTGCCCAGGGCCAGCATGTCTTCTGCTTTTCAGGAAGAAAAATCAGAAGCCAGAAACTTCATACCTCTCCATAAGCTTTACTCGTTCAAAGATAAGTGACCTTAGCCCCAAAGATTTTGGTTAAAGAAAATAAAACTGAGGGGCTGCATGAGGAAGTAGAATCAAAATTCCCCATGCCTGTGAAATAACCACGACAGAGGAACAACATAACATAAAAGGAAAAGAAAACACTTATCCCCGACAAAACAAAATTCATATCCCAACAAAATCAAGCTGCCAGCTTAAATGACAGTATAATTCTTTTCCCCATTTTGTTCTCGTTTATTGTGTGTCTATTTCCTGATACGTCATTGCCATCGGCAACAGTAATGACTATACTCATTGATTGCTTGAAGAAGCACAATTGCTTGGCTGCACATGCTGAGCACCAGCTTGTCCACCCATCTCGTTGCCAAACTGCTCAGACGGAATATGCTTCGGCAGTTCCGTGTATTAGAGTCTTATCATCAAATGCAACACGTTGGAGATTTTCTGCTAGAAAATCAGGACTAGACTTTTGTGGAGATTGAGGACCTGCCATGGTTGAATTCTGAACTGATGGTGGTATGAGCCAACGATTCCAGTCATTTCTCCGCCTTAACTTTTCGCCCTACAATGCAAGGAAGAAAACTTTTAAAACCCTAACAGTTAAGAGGCAAATACTACCAAAGTACTTTTATACTAAATTACTAATATTCTTAAAACCATTCTCCTAGTTCGGAAGCATTAAGCACCTAAATAGGCCCATGCAAGAGGGTAGATGCAAATAATACCCAAGTATTTTCATGGGAAAAAAAAAGTTAACAGAAAAATTGCTCAACTCTTTTTTTTTTCTTTTCTTTTTTGTGTGATAACCAAGAAATCCCTGAGGGGCAATGGCGCGCATGTTCAAAACTCGGTGGTTTAAGCAAATTCCTAAGTCTGAAGCACTAAATATCTCAATCAGCCTAGGCATCAGCAGAAAGACACTATATTATTCAAACAGCACCTGTGAACAAGGATGATTTACAAACCAATATTTTGTTTCTAGCAGGACCTATTCCGAAGAATGTGGTGGACTTTGTATAAGGAAATTGAATACTTGAAACCATTCACAAGGGTATCAGGCACTAGGTCTACTTAAGATTCCATGTTCACATCTCTAAGGTCTCTAATAAGTGCTCATTGATGCATTTAAGTTTCCATTCTTTTAGAACACAAGCACTTTGCCAAAAACTCAAATATAACATAGAATTCCTTTTATGTTTACCAAAGAAAGTGGAAACTAAAGGTCTATAAAGACCACAAACCATAGAAGGGATACCTGCACTTCTACAGCAGTAGAGGACCTCATAACGTCCAGTATCAGTTGTATATTATCAGTTAGCTGCATTACCTGCAAAAATGGCTGAAAATAAGCTTTTTTACAGCAAATAAAGTTACCGCATAGAGTGGTTAAGGCACGCATGTAAGTGGAGGCCACACTGAGATAAAATCAAGAAACATGGATCTGAAAGGATATCCAAAGACTTTTCCCTCCGCCTTCACTCAACCCAAAAGATTCATCATCCACCTTATACCACTTCAGTCACAGCAATAAGGACATAGAGAAGTGAGAACTATCACAAACACATGATTATAAATATAAAACAGCAGATTGAACTAAAACCTACAGTCAAGTGCTAACTCCCTAAAATGAGAAACAGATTAGAATCCTTTATAGTATCTTAGAATATGAACTATTTAGTGCACAAGCATGTCAGAAAATTTGAGCTAGTGTTATATAGTGTTTGAAAAGGCGATCGCTTCGTCGCTTTAAGCGCAAAGCGACAAGGCATCGCTTTTCCCAGAGAGAGGCGACTCGACCGTGTGAAGCGCACGCTTCAGTGGACAAATCGACAAAGCGACGAAGCAACAAAAGCGATAAAGCAATCACATCTGTTAAAAAATCGCAGCTGGGCAAGAAGATTGGGTCTGTTTGTAAATTATACAAAACAGACCCCTAAGCTCGCTTCTGTAATTCCTCGACAAAATAGAGACCCCTTCTCTCTTCTTCATCGACAAAACTAGGGTTTCCAGGTAATTTTCTTCTTCTCATTTTTTTCTTTCTTCTTTCTTTCTTCTTCTTGTTCCCGTCCGGATGCTCCTATTTTTTCTTTATTTTTCCTTCTTTCTTCCTTCTTCTTCTTCCTTATTCTTTCTTTTTCTTCTGAGTTCTGACCGGTCGCTGGAATCCAGCGCTGGTTTGATTCTTCTGCTTCCTTTTTCCTTGTTTCTTCCATTATTTATATATGTTATATTTTTCAGTTTTTTTTATTTTGTTAGTGTATATTTCAANTAATGTGTATTTCAGTTTATAAATTAATTATTATATATATGTTATATTTTCAGTTTGATTAATTTTAAAATGTATTTCAGTTTATAAATTAATTATTATATATTATATGAAATTTTAAGAATTGATGAAGCCTTCGCTTTTGAAGCGAGGGGAGCCCCTGTCGCTTTTTTGCACTTTGCGCTCTCAAAAACACTGGTGTTATTTCTCACTATAAATAGTTGTGTCTTGTATTCCATTTTCGTCAAGTCATCAATGCGACATACATCTCCTCACTTCTCTTATTTTCTGACATATTTAGACAACCCTTCGTATGATTCTCAGCAGTCAATAACTTCGAGCAAATATTATACTGATATTTCAATTTATACTCCCTGTGCAACAAAAGTTCAAGAAAAGTAGGGCCACCCATAACCATCAAGAAACGTACCGACTGTTGGATCATCTTGTAGATGAGAAGAAGAACAACAACAACAACATACCCAGTATAATCCCACATAGTGGGGTCTGCGGAGGGTAGTGTGTACGCAAACCTTACCCCTACTTTGTGGAGATAGAGAGGATGTTTCCAATAGAACTTCGGCACAGGAAAGTATAAGCATCACATTAATGAAAAGAAAAAAGAAAAGAAAAGAAAAACAAGAAGGGACAACACTGAGAAGACATGTAAAAGCAGCATAAATAACAAGAAAATAGTAATATGACCGAAAATGCAAGAAATGACAGGTAGTCACATTGTAGCTGAGAGCATCAACAAATTGCACTCCATAACCATTCCATCAAAAAGGCAATCACTCAACATTGCCCAGTTTGTAACATGAAATGTAGAACATTGGTGAAACCAGGAATTTCATATGCAAACAGTCTTTTTTTTTGCTGACATGACTTTCTACTCACAGATAAGTTTCAATGTGGTATAACATAAACTCGAAACTATTGTGAGCAGATATAAATACCATGCGAAATTTCACCCACTTTCTAGTTAAATCTTTTGAAACAACTTTCGCATCTTCTCCTTCCAAAAAGATAAGGTAAAGAATTAAACTTCCAATTTGAATATTCATTCAATTAATTAACTCCTTCACAAAATCACAGCTCTCTTATCTTCTCCTACCAAACATGTTCAGGGAAGATTAGAGTTTTTGTAAGAAATAGAAGACTCCTTTTATCAGCACCTTTGTTTACAATGCTCATTATCAGCACCTTTGTCTCCTCTTTCTCCCCGTGTTTTTAAAAGCTCAAAAAAGGTGAAAAAGCGACAAGGTGCATGGAGAGAAGCTCACTATTTAAGAAAACTATAAAGTATCAAACATCTAAGAGAGTAGTAAAAATAAAATGGAATTAAAAAAACTACTTTCGACATCCATTGTACAATAATGATGATTCTTAATCCAACTCCTCAAAGGAGAGATTCCAAAAAAAAAGACCGAAATCACTTTGTACGCCATTGTTTGAAGCAAACTTCTCTAAAGCATGACTTACGCATGAAGCAATAACCCTTTGCTTCACATTGATTCATTGTTTCATAGTTTTTAATAGCGCTACTTCCACCTAATTGTTAGCCTTCAATAAATTTAACCCATCTTCAAGAAAACCCGCCTCTGCTCTGCGTACCTCCAATTTTTCCTAGACTTTCTTGCATTATCCAGGTTAAAACATTTTTGTTCTTCCATTTAAAACACAAAGAACTTGATGCTACCTACACCACAGAAATCACCTCTCTTGTATCACTATAAGTATTCCTGCCTTCTTCACCCCTTTCTGAAAGCAATAAACCCTTGAATTAACCTAAAGAGTCACATTTGAAAGATTCGCACGCATAGCTATAACTTCCACACTCTTTGCGCGTGACTTTTTTACATAACCTTGTTCATCTGATTGGTCTTGAGTACTTAGGATCCCTTTTGCACTCAAAACACATTCTGTCTACCTGCTACTCACCACAGCTACTTGTTTTAAGACACATCCTAATATCTACTATCAATCATAAGAATGTGGGATCGGCAGATAAAAACTATCTGTAAAGGGAATAAGAACTTCAGAATCAACCAACCATTAACAACTATAGACTCCACAAATAACAGAATAACCTGTAAAGCTAAGTATTCAAATTATGCATATGCTGACATGCATAGTACCCTGAATAACTCTACTTATAATGACTGTGATCAAGTACTGCGCCTACCCTAAATGGCTTGCCCTACAAGCAATAAGAATAAATAAGGGGATGGACATCTAGCCTAGTGAAGAAACAATCACGTCATGGAACAAATGACAGAAAAAGCAGAACCAATGGTTTAATGAAATTATTACATCAGCGCGCACTTACATGATAATATATTAACCAAGAGTGTGCATGAAAGCACAGTATGGTGGTCACTGACCTCTTGCTAGAATCACTCAATTTCAAAACACAAATCTGTTAACCACTTTCCATGAGCTCAAGAGTTCATTATATAATTTAAGGACGCTGATGTAGCTTGACACATTTACCGCAACAACAAATTACTAACTACTGATGAAATCGATTGCAATGCCAGAGATTCAATCCAACCACATATCACTATACCAGCCAGCCTTCAAATGACCAAAATTAGAACAGCTTTGTGCAAAAAATACAGCATTTAAATCAACAACCAACAACAGCATGCGTATAAAACTTCATATACACTTAAGACATGCTTACTACAAAACGAATCATAGCTGCAATCAGCAAGCCTATACATCCAGAGATACTGCTTCTTTCTCCAAATATCATTCTATTATCCAGTCAAAAGGGTCAAAACTATGCAGGGATATTTTCTCCCTAAGGAAGAAGTTAGAAGTTCACATTAGTTTTAGTTTACTTTCTTTTTCTTCCCCATAATACTCTTAAGAGGGGAAGAAAACAACATTGATAAGAGAGATAGAAACAGAGAGGCCTCTTGTTTGAGGAAAAGATATCATTGGCGCTTCCTAACCCCTAAAAAGGAGCTAAGGTCATCAACCAGGCTCAGAAACATTGTTAACAGTTGCCGACAACAACATGAATTAAGCTATGGAGATGCATTTTCAAAAGAATGAGCTACTCGTACACCAGAAAATATCAGCCAAGCACTAAGGATTCAAGCAAACACATATGTACTAACAGAACTCCCCTTACAAGAAATGACATTTAATTCAAACCAACTCACTTTCTTGAAGCCTGCTATTAGCGTAACGGGAACCCATCCATGTTCATCCATGTTCCGTCGCAAGAACGTATCCTTAATTAAATTTTCATCACTACAGCAAAATATAGGGACAAGAAGAGTTTAGAATACCAATACATTTATGGCAGCTACTAAATAGGAGCAATTACAAGCAAATAGAACAAAGAAGTGTCTACCTGAAATAATAATCTATCTGGTTCACTATTTTGGTTTGCATCTGGGGATCTGGAACATGAAAGAAGAAAGGTGGCACAGGAGAAAGCATAGGCATTCTAAATGAATCAGGCAGTGGACCTGGAAAATAATATACAGGTGCAACTTCTGCATATTGGTTAAAGTATCAGTAGAGAGACAAAATGGGCTAAGTAACTCAGCAAAATAACTCAAGAAGTAACACATCTCACCAGGGTAAACCATAGGAGCTCGATAGGGCTGCACAGGCATGTGTGGAGGTATAAAAGGTGGAGAAGTATGAGGTGGGCCTCCCATAAATGGCCTTGCTGGAACTCTATGTGGCTGCATGGGCGCATCCCTATTCCCCCAACCTCTGTGGGGTTTCCAATCCTGATTTCCACGTTCCTGATCACGCCTACCCCCATAACCATGATTATAAGTGCCATCTCCATGGGAGTGTGGACCAACATTGCCTCTCCTGTTTGAGGTTCGTTGATGTTGGTGCTCATTTCCACCATGTGATTGAGATCCAAATCCTCCCGACTGTCCACCATCCCTATGACTAGTATCCTTTGAAGAAGACTCAGCACCAAAATTTCCTGACTTCCCAGAATTATTAGTTACTATTTCCACCTCAGAACCCTGCGCCTGTTGCTGAGGAAAACCTCCATTGGCTGATGCATTATGGTTTGAATAGCCACCTCCTCGCTTCATAGACCTTTGGCGGGTGGGACCAACATGGTTCGAAATTAAATTAGGGTTTGCATTATTAGTATTAGCTTGCCTATGAGAAGACGATGTCATTTCCGTGCCCTACAAATCCACACATTTACATATACATGAGCTTTTAGAACTACCGGGGATTATTAACTCATAAGTATATGACACACACAAAATAAAACAACGAAAACTGAGAATCAGAGTGCAGATAGAGCAAAAACAACAATAACTACTATGCCTCGATCCTAATGTAGTTGGGATCGGCTATATTAATCCTCAATATCCATTTCATTCCAAAAATCAGTTAGAGCAATGTATACAGAAAAGCAGCATTGATGAATGGGGTTTTAATAACCTGTGATACGGAAACTGATCCGTCCGAGAGAGCTTTGAGTGAATCAGAAGATGGCGATTTAGGTGAAGCCTTAGTGGACTCAGAGAGAGCAGGCCAAGAGACAGCACCCATAACTGGACTGACCTCAGCTACGCCATTTGACGGTTTACTCCAAGCCTGCTTTTTAGACACATTGTTGTTGCTATTATCAGAGCTCTCAAGCTGACCTTCTGTAGCAGCACTACCAGCTGTAGCCACGTCTTCAGAAAGAGAATAATCAGAGTGAACGATTTTCTCAGAAGACGCAGGAGGAGAAAGTGAAGGTGGAGGAGGTGAAGAGGAAGCCGCCGCCGCCACGGTGGATTCTGATTCGCCACTGCGAACAATCTGCGTCCAAGTCGAGGAAACGCCACGCGCAGCGGCTGATGATCGCCGATACTGTGGGCTGTTTAGACCGCCGGTGCCGGTGTCTGGGTTAGTATTCCGGTGAGAATGATGAGCCTGAGCCGGAGTTGGAGCCGCTGTAGCCATCAAAACTAGGGTTTCTTTCTGTTAATCCAAACGCTTCCAAAAATAAAAAGTAATCTCCCAAAACCGAAGTAATTAGTCTCTACACTTGAAAATCCGTTAGTTGATTGACTATCCTAAAATAAATAAACCGATCAAAATTTTCTACACAGAGAGTGAGAGATTAAGCAGATAAGTACTATATAGAATCAGAGAAATCGATAAATGCAAGTAAAACGTTAAGAGAGTATAACTGACAAAAAATCAAAAGCCGCAAAAGAAGGTGATTTCGACGATCACTCGGCTTGCACAGAGAGACGAGTTCTCTCTCTCTCCTCTCCTCTCCTTTCTGTTTCTCTCTCTAACTATTGCTTAGCAGTAGAGAAAAGCGACTTACAGAATTACGTATAAAACTACGAAATTACCCTAGTGTGAAAAAGGCAGTTTCGTTTGATTGGTCCAAGCTGGCAATTATTTCATCACTACTTAATTTCATTGGATTGTGACTTTAATTACCTACCTTTCCTTTTTTATATATACCCATGAATCACTAAATTCTTAGCACGAAGAATCTGGTGATCCTTTTCGTTATCGAGCCGAATCTAAAAATTTCGTTATTTTTTATTTTGGTAATTCAGCAATAGAGTTCCATATAGATTTTGATATATTTGATTTAATTTTTAACACAAATATATATATATATATATTGATCGACTTTTATACTTTTAAAATCTAAAAATTACTATTTATATCTATATATTATTATAAAAGCATGAATATAGTGTCGGTTTACAAAAATAACCTTATAATATTAAGTATAATAACTCATAATAAAAGTACATAACCGAAATTCTAAATCTATCTATAATTAAAAGCATGCGATAAAAGCCCCTCATTAAGCCAAGTGTCACTATGCAAGCACGACACATGTCACATTCAGACAAGACTCCTACATATTAGGAATAAACTAACGAAGTACAATCTTAATTACATTAGGTATTTTTGATAGAACTTATTTACTCAAAAAAAAATTGCAAAATTCTTCTAAAATCGCCGGTAAAGATTGTCTTCGAATTAATTAATTTAAATTTGTTTAAAATCATTAAATGAATGATTTTTTGCATTTATTCCAAAACCGCCGCTGAAGATTCCTGCGTTTATTTATTAATTTAAATTTGTTTAACAAGCCTTAATTGAATGTGGGTAAAACAAAAAAATCGTTCAAACTTCCAGTAATATATCTAAATTAAATTTATTTTAATTATTTTTAAACAAACGTGACCGGAATCGTTTTACTCCACAAAATTTGGTAAACAAATTTTAACTTCAATTAACCCTAAATTTTATCTGCAAAGTCACGTTTTCTCTCTGCAAAGTCACCTTATTTTGAACTGTCAAACCCACGATTTACTATATTGGGTATCAACTGCTCAAAGCTCAAAATATATATTTCTTCCACATGTACAACTGCTTCAATTCTAATGTTCGTTCTTCTACCAAGATTTCAACAAAAATTACGAATTACCCAAAAGATGGCCGCTAACAATGATTTCATCAAGGATATAACTATATCAAAGATGCAATGGAAGTTGAAAGTTCGCGTTGTCCGTATGTGGGAAAAACCGGATCGTTTTAATCCTGGCTCTATATTCTCCATTGAATTGGTTCTACAAGATGAAAAGGTATTTTTATTATGTTATTGGCTTGCTAATTCCTTTCTGCTATTCGAAATTTAAATGTCAATATCCATAGATTTGTTTTGCTCTTCCAGATTTAAATGTCAATATCCAAACATTTATTTTGCTTTTCCAGATTTTTATAGGAATATTTCGTTTAGTTCGAACTATAAAACAAGTTTATTACCAATGCTCAGCTTTATATCCCGTATACATGTGGATAATTTGTAGGTGTTGTTTTTCTTTGATAATTGCACGCAATTAATTATTTGTACATCAGGGACATGCTTATGGAATCAGATTGAAGGAAAGAAGACCATATTAGTATTTGTTGACGCTTATAATCTAGATTAAGGTAACACCTTTTGAAAAGGGTGAACCGGATGTGAGGATATTTCCTTGTTCAATTCATTCATCCTTGGATAAGTTACACAGTTAAGTATAAAAAAAAAACAAAGGAAGAACAGCAAGAAATCAGAAAAAGAAAGTTTAAGAAGAAGTTCTTCGTAAAACTCAGTATCACAATCTTCAACTCAAACAAAATTCTCAAAAGGATTTCCCTCTCAATATCCTTTTCGATTTCTTGCTTGATCGCGTATTTGCATGCGCGTTGACATATTTAAGTAATTTCTGCTCCACTGTATCCTTATTTTAACTTTGCTAGATGTCTCGAGTCTACATTGCTAAAAACAGGTGATTTTCTTAAGCATGTTTTATAAACATTTGCATGACTTGCAAATCTGCTTTTTTTGTATTTTTTATAAACATTTACATGACTTGCAAATCTGTTTTTTTTGTGGAATTAGTGTCACTAATTAAATTGTTTAACTATACTGTTTAAAACTAAAGCTAATATAAATACTAAACTATACAAATTTGTAATATCTTTCCTTTATTGTAATTTCTTTGTAGGGCGATCGTATACATGCTTTTATTGGCAAGTCTGTTTTGCATATTTTCAACAAAAAAAATTAATGAGCTTGGATTATATCTTATGGCGAACTTTATCGTCTGCCAAAACAAGGAGAGGTTCAACACCACAAAACATAGATTGATGCTGACGTTTACTCAACGGACAACAGTGGCTGAAACAATTGATCCACTTTTTCCAATGAATATCTTTGAGCTGCGACCATATCATCAATTGATAAATAAAGTTGATGTCAACGAGAGTGAATTATTTGGTAATATTTGTGTTTATTTTAATTAATTTTTACATATTTTTTTTAATAGATTGATGCTAATTATTTTTACATCTTTAATATTCTTTAGATGTTATCGGAGAAATTGTCAATTTTAGTGAGGTACAAACGCAAAAACAAGGTGAAATTACTAGGAAGTATATGGATATCGAACTAGAAGATGATGAGTAAGAATAAACAGACAACCATCTATTAAATACATATTTTTCATAAATACATATACTAAACATTATACACTACTTCTATTTCACAGGAGGAACAAGTTATCTGCTACATTCTGGGGGGAATTTGTTGATCAAGTTCTACCTCACANATCAAGTTATACCTCACCTTTTAAGTTCTAACAACCAGCCTATTATTGTTGTTATGCAGCTCATAAAAGCGCATAAATTTCAAGGTAACATGCAACTATTAAATTTCACTTAACTTTTTGAAAGTTATTCATCACATGTTACATATAATTATTTTTTCCCAGATTCATATTCTGTGCGCAACACTTGGAATACATCAAAGTTGTGGATTAATCCTACTTTTCCTCAATCTGAAGAGTTTAAACACGGTTAAATATATTTTAATAATGTATCTACACTCATATCTATCTTTTGATGTATATTTCTAACTGTAATCCTCATTTATACATATAGATTACTTTCTGTTCGAGATAGTTGCTCTGAGAGGCTTACTCAAACCATCTCTCAACAAAGTTTCTCTGTTTCGGATGAGTTACAGAAGGGCATTGCTGAAGTTAAAACAATTGCCCAATTAGTCCAGTCGATGCAAGTGAGTTCACTCTTTTTATCTTCTTTCTTTGATTTTTCAGAAGACCATCTTTTCTATTTATTTTCTTCTGATATTTAAGCCATTGGTTATCCTATTTTACTGCATTAAAATTCCATTATACAATTATAAAATAATGACTTTTTATATGATTGGTACTCCATTTGCATAAATATGTAGAGTTGAAATAATNCCGTTGTTCTTGGTGGTGACTTTAGACAAATACTTCCAGTCATTCCAAAAGGTACTAGACAAGATATTGTTAATGCTACCCTTAATTCTTCATATTTGTGGAATCACTGTCAAGTCTTAAAGCTAACAAAAAATATGAGGTTGGAAGGAAATCAGGTGGATTCACATTTGAATGATCTAAGATAATTTTCTGATTGGATTTTAGCAATAGGTGATGGTATAATTGGAAATTCTGTTGATGGTATCGATAAAGTTCACATCCCTGGTGATCTTATCATCAATAATTGTGACGATTCAATTTGTGCGATTGTGGAAAGTACATATCCGGATTTTTTAAGTCATTGCAGTGATATAACATACCTGCAACAAAGAGGAATTCTTGCTCCCACTCTTGATATGGTTGAATCAATCAACGAATACATGGTTTCGGTAAACAATAGTCAACCAAAAATATTTTTTAGTTCTGATACAATTTGCATGTCAGACGATGCTTTTACAGGTTTGGAACACGTACATACACCTGAATTTCTAAACACTATTAAGTGTTCTGGAATTCCAAATCATGTTATCACTTTGAAAGTGGGTGTCCCAGTGATGTTATTGAGAAATATAGACCCATCTTCAGGGCTATGTAATAGAACAAGATTAATCATCACTAGACTGGGAAATCGGGTTATTGAAGCAAAAATTTTATCGGGAAATATGGCTGGACAAAAGGTCTTCATTCCGAGAATGTCATTAACTCCATCTGATGCAAGAATACCTTTTAAGTTCCAACAAAGACAATTTCCAATAGTTGTATCATTTGCAATGACGATAAACAAAAGTCAAGGACAATCTTTATCGCATGTTGGGTTATATTTGAAAAAATCGGTGTTCACACATGGCCAGCTTTACGTTGCTCTATCACGGGTTACAAAAAGAAAGGGATTAAAGATTTTGGTTTATGACGATGATGGAGAAATTTCAAATGAAGCGATAAATGTGGTTTATAAAGAGGTTTTCCGTAATTTACTTGGATAATGAAAGGAAATCTGATACCTTTTAGCCAACTTTTTGTTCTCATGCATCTGTCTTTTGGAAAACCATATTGCAAATAATCTTCAGAAACAATACTTGCCAACTTCAATAGGTATGGTTAACTGCGATCATATGTTTTATTTTTTAAAATTGTCTATTTGTTTTTAAACACATTGATTATATTGCTTCTACGACATGTTGGTGTTGGCAGTTGCTGCTGTGAAAGTTATTAATACTCGATCATGTGCCGGAAACAAACTTCCAAAGCAGGCATGTCATTTAGCTTCCTCGACTATGCATCTCGGTTCAATTTAAACGTAAGTTTCTACCTTTCATTTTAATATCTTCTTATTAATTTAGTTGTGATAGCCGAAATTAACAGCTTTCATTTTTCTGTCATTTGGATGATAAAACATTATATTCTCCACATAAAGCATTTCAGCAATTCTTATTATCTGAGAAGAGCAATTGTAATTGTAAAAGCCAACAATCATCTTGGACAGCATGGTATCATTCGAAAACACATACATTTATGCACCTGTTTTTGTTAACTTACCATCCTCATCAAGGGAAACAAGCGCAAACAACAGATGCAGGCCTTTAAGTAGACTTTCAGTTGTTGTACTCTACATGAAGTAAAAGTGCATCAAGTATTTAATCCCTTGAGTAAGAGCACGACATTTGCTATATTTTTCCTTTTTATTTCAGTAACTGTCTTATCTTACAAATTGTTAATGTAGCTATGTGCAGTGTATAACAGGAAGCACTTTCCATTCGTTGTTTGTCCTGATCGAGCAGAACTTTGGTTTTCAGACGTCGTGGATATGGGAGCGACCATCAATGACTCGGTCCCTTTCCGAGGTTTGTAACACTGAATCTTAACTTTATAGAATTTATCGTAGTAACATTATAAAATATGTATCATTAACCATATTGGAAGAAATCAAGTTGCTTAAGTTTTATGTTATCTATATAGTGTAATTATTTCTTCATACAAATTTATTACAGTTTTGTATGGTAGCCAACTTTTGCCACATATCGTCAAATTATATTTAGTTACTTAAGATCGAAAATACAAAACCAGCGCTAATTAAGGCGATATTTCCAATATAGCCTTAATATTTTCTTATCGGTTTTATTGAAGTATCTAATTGCCTACTAGCTCAAACTAAGGCTACACAAGGTGGAGCCAACAAGATGAATAGGTTATTGAAAAGGATATATTACCAGATGGTCCTTGTGGAGAGGAGGAATCATATGATAAATAAAATTACCAGGAATAACACAGTGTAAATAACAAAGGTAAGGGCAACAAATAGTAGAAAGAAAGACAGGAGATGGGGAGAATATAGATTAAGGTTACAGTTGTCAAAAAGGAGATGATGGATGGGAAGTGCAGAAGAATTTGAATACTAATCCTAAAAAATATTTACCTCCAGATTAACCTAATATACCTGTTGAAAAACAGGTTGGAGAAACAGGAATATTGGTGGAGCTTGCAGAGGGACAAACTGTGATGTTGCAGACAGAAGCTGAAACTGGGAAGGCCAATTTAGGTGCCTCAGTTCTATTGATTCATGTGATAATACAGAAGCATGAGCAGCACGTACTGACCAAAAATTTGTTGCAGCAGTAAACAAACTTCATGACAAAAACAATACAGTCATAGTTCCAACAGGTATGCAGCAGCAGTTAGTTGACCCAATGTCAGTCAGAGGCAACAATCATGTTGGACAGAACCGTCTGTCAATTTCATGATCGAAGTAAACCTCATTTGTATTATTTTAAATTTGTAGGTCGCTAATGAAGATAATTTGTTGATCGATATTGCAAACTCATCAGCCAACATAGGTATATCTATTGCCGCAACAGTGATCCATGAAGATTTGAATACACACTTATATGGAACTAAGATGAAGAGATTATTTAAATACCTTATGTAATTTGGATGCTAAAAACTAAACGTCATTTGTATTTTTTATATTTGTAGGTCTGTAATGAAGATAACGAGTTTATCGATATTGCAAACACATCAGCCAACATATGTATATCTATTGCCGCAACAGTCGTCGAAGAAGATTTGAATGCACGGTTATATGGAATTATGCTCAACACTGTATTTAAAATACAGAAATCAGCTTTACTTATTGCATATGTAATAGTTGGAGAAATCAAACACATTCTTATAAGTTATTTTATTAGTTAAATTGTTATGAACAACATATTTTTAACTTTTCATGTGAAGAGGATTAAGGTTGTATATTTGCCAGACACTGTGACTGTACAAGTCGAGAATGCAGTTATCAACTTCTTCATCCATTTAGTAGAGCAACAAGATCAAATAGTCATATAACTTCATCCATATGCTTTGTTTAAGTGTTTCTGGCAGTTGAGTTCCAAGTCTATATTCAAATTAGTTCAACGGCAGCTAAAGAAAAAATAAGCCTGAATAAGAATTCACTAAATCCTGCTCACATGTATCCAATTTTGAAATTGTAAATGAAAGCGTAATGCATTAGGATCGCACCATAACAATATATGACAGTCTAAAAGAGTCGTAGCTACCTTAGCTATTTAGTTATGTATATAATCTTCTTTATCAAACTGTGTGTTTCTGCTTTGCTTTTAACTACAAAACAATAACTAGACAGAAAAATAGCTGGAAAAAATTAAAGAAATTGCCACAGAAAAAACTGCCACACAACCTCTACCCATTTAACCCCCACGTTCTGCCACTCCTACAGTAACAACAAATGCACATTCCAACCATCTCCTTAACAACTCCATCCACAAATCTTCCCCACTTACACACCATACCAACTTCCGCACTATTATCTTCCCATGATATTATAAAATCTGATGAAAAGGGAGACAGTAAAAGAAGAACAAGTGACAGAAAAACGAAAACTGATAAACTCCAAAGATATTACGTACAATTTATTTCTGGTAAATCTCGATAGCGTCATCTCTCTAAATTTTACTCGATAACAACGGTATGATCTTTATATCACTTTTTAATTTAGTATGTAGAAGTAGATTCGTGTTGTCAACTTATTAATATACTAACTTACATAAGCCTCTGTACCTAAATACTTATATTGTAATTAATATACTACCTTATAATATACTTCTTAGGTAAATAAACAGAATTAGCAACACAACTGTTATTTACAATACGTTTATTTCTTTTTTTGAACAGAGTGGTTACATGGCTTGAATTGCTAAAACTTATGAAATTCCTATTTTACCTTTAATTTTCAGAATTGCTCGATCGATTTGTTTAACAATGTGTTCTGATGTCCTGTAACAT